GACAGATATAAAAATATGAAGATCTAAAAATTGCACTTCGCTGTCACTATGGTCCATGGTCAGACTGACACCCCAAGTATTGGAGTTAAGAAACTCAACAAACAGCTGAAGTTGCTGCACGGAACCCCTCCAAATAAAAAATAAGTAGTCAATGAAACAGCGATAGGTGACCAGATTTCGAACCCAGCCATGCTCTCCATATATATATATGTCTCCTCCCAGAATGCCATAAAGAAGTTGGCATAGCTGGGCGCGAACTTGGTCCCCATCGCCGTTCCCAGTACCTGTAGATAGAAGGAATCCAAAAAATAAAAATAATTATTATGCAAAATCATATTGATTCCATCTAGGATGAATTCCTGATGGTCAAGGGTTAACTCAGTTTCGGTTAAAAAAGATTTAACAGCTTCAATCCCAATTTGGTGGGGGATAATCGAGTAAAGCGATGAAACGTCAGCAGTAACTAAAAGATCTCCCTCCTTCCACTCGATTTCCTCCAAGAATCTCAAGATATGTCCCGTATCTCGTAAATATGCTTTGGTTTTCTTAAAGCGGCACTGTCATGCTGAACTTACCTTTCCTCAATCTCTTCTCCCCCTCTCTCAGGATCTGTTCTTCTTTTCTTCCTGTCTTCTTTAGTTTTCTTTAAAATCATAAGACAAAATAGGGACTCTTTGCCTTATGGAGGTTTCCTCCGCTTGACCAGCTCTGACCAGCAAAGTGTGCTTCATTTCCGCTGGTCAGAGCAATTTTCTCATAATTCTTACCTTTCCTCTGTGATCTCGCGATGCTTCCTGTCATTTTAGACGAAACTGCCGAATTGCGTACTAACTGAATGAGAACAGTATGTTTGTTTCTTTATGAACTCAATTCGGCACTTTGTTCATATCGGAATTTCATTAGAATGAATGAAACTCCGATCCTATTCGTGCTGTGGCTGCATCTTGCAGCCGCTTAGTAGATAACTCCCTAATTCCCACGGTATCAGGTAGTTATCTACTAAAAGGCTGAAAGACCTAAATTGGTCTTTCAGCCACATAGAAACATAGAATGTGATGGCAGATAAGAACAATTCGGCCCATCTAGTCTGCCCAATTTTCTAAATACTTTCATTAGTCCCTGGCCTTATCTTATAGTTAGGAAAGCATTATGCCTATCCCACGCATGCTTAAACTCCTTTACTGTACTAACCTCTACCACTTCAGCTGGAAGGCTATTCCATGCATCCACTACCCTCTCAGTAAAGTAATACTTCCTGATATTATTTTTAAACCTTTGTCCCTCTAATTTAAGACTATGTACTCTTGTTGTGGTAGTTTGTCTTCTTTTAAATATAGTCTCTTCCTTTACTGTGTTGATTCCCTTTATATATTTAAATGTTTCTATCATATCCCCCTGTCTCGTCTTTCCTCCAAGGTATACATGTTAAGATCCTTTAACCTTTCCTGGTAAGTTTTATCCCGCAATCCATGAACCAGTTTAGTAGCCCTTCTCTGAACTCTCTCTAAGGTATCAATAACCTTCTGAATATACGGTCTCCAGTACTTTGTACAATACTCCAAGTGAGGTCTCACCAGTGTTCTGTACAATGGCATGAGCACTTCCCTCTTTCTACTGCTAATACCTTTCCCTATACAACCAAGCATTCTGCTAGCATTTCCTGCTGCTCTATTACATTGTCTGCCTACCTTTGTCATCAGAAATAATCACCCCTAAATCCCTTTTACTAATACTACACAGAACCCCTCCAAATAAAAAATAAGTAGTCAATGAAACAGCGATAGGTGACCAGATTTCGAGCCCAGCCATGCTGTCCATATATATACGTCTCCTACCAGAATGCCTGTGGCTGCTCACTGTAAAAAAAAACAAAAAACTATTGGCCCCCACCCCTAAACAACAGGCGGGGGCCCTAAAGTAAAATAAGGGGGAGACCTATTGTCCCCCCCTGACCTCCACCCCTGCACGGTGGATGGGGGCCATAAATTACAAGGAGGAGGGGGGACCTACTGTCCTCCCCCGTCCAGCCCCCACCCCTGGGCGGCGGGTGGGGGCCATAATGATAATGAGGGGGGGACCTACTGTCCTCCCCCCCAAGCTCCCACCCCTGGGGAACCTACTGTCCTCCCTCCCCGGCCCCCACCCCTGGGGGGCCCTAAGTCAAATTCCCCCCCATCAAAGGTGACTAGGGGTCCCCAAGCCCCTAGTCACCCACCCCCTCTCCAAAATAAAAAAGGCCCCTACCTAACCCCCTCACCCTAAAAAATAGTGAGGAGGGAATAAAATTACTAACCTGTAAAGTAAAATTAAACTTACCATTCGACGTCTTCTTTTTTCTAAAATCTTCATTTTTCAGCCCCAAAAAAGGCTAAATAAAAAACCATCATACCCGTCGAACTTAAAATAAAATAACGGAGCGCAAAAAAAAAACCTGACGAGAAAGAAAAAACCTGAGCGCAAAAAAATAATCCATCTTCACCCATGGAGGGCTCCGTGCAGACTGAGCTCTGCAGGGCGGGGCAAGGCTTATAAAGCCTTGCCCCGCCCTGCAATTAGCCTAAGAACACTCTGATTGGTGGGTTTAAGCCAATCAGAGTGTTCTTTGTCATTTTACACAGCGTGGAAAAATTCCAGAGAACTTTCCCATGCTGTGTAAAATGACACAGAGCACTGTGATTGGATGACTTGAAATCCATCCAATCACAGTGCTCTGGGGGGGAGGACAGTAGGTCCTTAGAAAAAGGTTTTTAGAAAAAAGAAGATGTTGAATGGTAAGTTTAATTTTACTTTACAGGTCAGTAATTTTATTCCCCCCTCACTATTTTTTAGGGTGAGGGGGGTAGGTAGGGGCCTTTTTATTTGGGTGGGGGGGGTGGGTGACTAGGGGCTTGGGGTCCCCTAGTCACCTTTGATGGGGGGGTGATTTGACTTAGGGCCCCCACCCGCCGCCCAGGGTTAGGGGCCGGGGGGGTGGACAGTAGGTCGCCCCCTCATTATCTTTATGGCCCCCACTCGCCGCCCAGGGGTGGGGCCCGGGGGGGACAGTATGTCCCACCCCCTCATTATCATTATGGCCTCCACCCGCCGCCCAGTGGTGGGGGCCGGGGGGGGGGCAGTAGGTCATATTGACCCTCATAGAGTGAGGGGGGACCTGGGGGCCTTATGAAGTGACGGGGAGCACTGCTCCCGCCCGCTTCTATAGTTACATATTACAAGGAGAGAGCTGCGTGCCGGTAGCTCCGTCCTTGTAATAAACTGAACGAACAAACGAACACTGATACACAGTGTTAGTTTGTTCGTCTGATTTTTCTATTCATTCATTCGTCTGTCTGATGAACGAATGAATAGATTAAATTCCCGTTCGCATGTCCAAGTGTTTAACTGGGCATGTGCGGGAATCTCACAGTCTGTCTAGTGTGGGCAGATGATGTGTCCCACAGGGACTTCATCTACCCACACAAAGATGGCGACATCTTGAATAAAGATCGGGGCAGAAAATAAAGAATAAAAAATAGGTAACATGGGGGGCTTAGGGGCATTTGGGGGTGACTAGGGGGTCAATTAGAGATAGCGGAGGCGGGAGGGGGGTTAAAAAAAACACGGGATTCGGCATGACAGTGCCGCTTTAACTACGGGTTGGAGAAATTGATCAATATATTCTGACAAGGGGGCAGATATTGATCCTATGCCCGAGATGATGTGTCTTCCCGGTGATCTTTTTTCATGTTTATGGATTTTGGGAAAGAAGTAATACACTGGTATTCTAGGGTGTATTACCATAAAGTATTCATGTTCTTGTTTTGTCAATATTCCCATACTTAGGCCTTTATCTAGATATTCTGAGAATTTATTCTTCATATCTTTAGTTGGATCTCATATTAACTTCATCTAGTTGTCTTAAGGATTCTTCAATGTAGTAGGATGTATCCATTACTACAACCGCCCCCTCACCCCCTTTGTCAGCAGGTTTAATAATCACCTCTTTATCTTCCTTAAGTTCTTTAAGGGCTCTTTGTTCTTCCCTTTTAAGGTTCATCCGATTCTTATCAATTCTCTTTATTCTCTCTACCTCTCTCATTACGATATCTTCAAATGCCCTCATTGAATTTGTTTTACAATTATTTGGGAAGAATGTGGACTTTTTCTTTCATTTGGTATGTTCTTGTACCACAGTAGGCGATTCCGTCTTATCTATAAAAAATCTCTTGAGACGTAGTTTACGGACAAATTCTTTTATATCAATAAAAGTAGGAAAATGATCTAGGTTGGCTGTAGGGCAAAATTTTAGTCCTCTTGCCAAAACCCTGTTCTGTATTGGAGTAAGAATTTTCTTGGAAAGATTGTATATACCTACTATCTCTATTGTCTTCCTTGTTTTCCGTCTCTGAATCTCTTTTCCACCCCTTGTTCCTCTCTGTCTGGCTCTATTCTTCTTTTTATGGGGGAATTGGGGACATTTAATCTTACCCTTTCTTTTCTTTTTTGTTCCCACTCTAAAAAAACCATTGGACTTTTCTCTCTGGTTAAACATCTCAAGCCTATTGGCAGTGGAGACATTGTACCTCGTAGCATCTTCTTTTTTTCCTTTTTGTTGGTTGTATCTTTGGGATTTTTGGTAGTGTTCTTCATTTAAATCCCTTTTTCCACTCGTTGACATATTCCTTTTTTGGGGGGTTGGATTTTTATAGTCTCTTATTTGTTGGTATTCTACACTTTCTCTTCTAATTTCTGTTCTTTCCCTATAGCTATTCGGTCTTTGTATCTCTCTTTTGTTGTTTCTTATATTAATATTCTCATTTCCATTTTTACTCTCACTAAACCTTCTTCCGCCTTTATTTGGTCTTGATGTACCTTTCCATCTATCGCTATCTGGCCTTCTCCTAGAGAATGTGTGTACCTGATTTTCCTGATAGTCTAACTTATCTCTAAGGTACTTTTTTCTTTTTAATTGAAATGACTTCTTTCTCTACCTTATTCATTTCTTCAATAATCTCCTCTAAATGTTTTGCCATTTCTCTAGATTCTAGAAAAGGTTGTAGTAAATCTTTAATTTCTTTAATCTTAGAATCCAGTTCCCTTAGGTTAATTTGTCTCCTTTTGATTATAATATGTAACATACCAACTGATATATCATTTAGATAGTTATCCCACTCACCCATAAATTTCTCACAATCTCTATCAAAAGTGGGGGTCTTGTGAAATCTCAGTCCCCTAGGTGCCATTCCTTCTTTAATATATTGCCTAATGTGGCAATTTTCCACTATATTTTTAATTCCCTAGTGAGTAATTTTTGTAAATCTTTACATAAATCTGGTATTTTTTTAGGAATTGTGGGCGTTACACCTTGTAATTCCTCACTAAAAATATTGTCCAAATTGGAGCAATATTTAGTGCGTGCTTCAAAAATAGACATATTTAAATTCTCAGCAAGCTTGACAAAATATAATTATCGTTAATTGACAATAAAGTGCAAAATAGTGTACAGTTATTAGAATTGACAATAAAGTGCATATAGTGAGCAACAAACAGTAAAGTGCATAAAGTGAAAAACCAGATGGAGTCAAAGCGCTTAAGAATATCTGCAGTGCTGCTGCACTACCCCCAAGTGACACACAGTGACACAAATTAGCAATAGATACCAGAAAGTTGGAGTGTGCTAGCAACTGCACTGGAGTCAGGGTCTTCTCTGAGTACTCTGAAAAAATATACAGTATATAGTGCAGACTGTCTGTACATACAGGGTATGCAAAATTAAAGTGTATCTGGGGATCAACTCACATGGACCAGAGCCCTATCACCCCTGACTCTGGGTTTGAATTGCTCCAATGGAGAGGGATAAACCCACAGTATAACAAAACAGGATACTCTTCTGAATCAGATGTAATATCCCTCAGGAATGGGGGTGCACTGGCAAGCTGACAGTCAGTTGTCTGGACCAATCACCTTGCGCCTGCCCCATAATGAGCCGCGCGGGCTGAGGAAAAGCGCGGCAAATTACTTTGACACACGTAATATGGCTGCCGCGATGCGCAGCCGCGACTGCACATGCGCAAGCAGCACCTGACCGCGGAATGGGCCCAGACAGAACGGACAGTTCCAGGGAGGGTGCCCTGCGTCCGGGTGGCCGGAATGCATTTGGGTAATAAACTACCCGAAGACATGCAAGGAAAGGCGGGTTAGCCACCCCGATGGGCAGGAAACCGGAGGAGCGGCAGCCTAAAGCAGCTCACCCCCACAAAGGGGCCAGCGCAGAAAAGAAAATTACATATAATAAACAGATCAATTACAGATCAATTACATACAATAAACAGTGAAGCAATACATCCAACAGACACAGAAAAAACAACAGTAAGACATGTCAGAGTAAAACAATATGGTGGTACTTAGCTGAGCCAGCAGCAAAGAAAGAGGAAGAAATGGGGGTCACATGGGACTATTTGATATGTAGACTGTTCCCATTGGCTAAGATATAGTGATGTAATGATTAACCCTGTGAGGGTATTTGTTCATTTTTTCTATACTATGAATACCTTCACTTTCTTTGCTGCTGAGGAATAAAAGAAAGAGATAAGCCTAATAAGAGCCTCCGTGTCCTTTAATAAAATTCTAAATTGTTAAATCAAAACTATTTCTTGTCCGCTCCTACACCTCCCCCCATGCTTGCCACTCCTCGCTGTAAATACCTTGATATAACTGATTATCTCTGCTCCCTCCCTAGGCCCATTTCCCATTACATCTTTACTGCAAGCCTCTACAATTCTACTTCCTGCCCACCCAGGTCCCCCCTAAATTTATAGCATGCTCCTCCAGCTGTCAAATTCTCTCTCATTTACCTCTTCACTCCCTCTATACTCTAATATACTCCAATAGCTGCAACTCTCTGTTTACTTATGTAGCCATCACTTCCAAATTTCCCCTGCTACCTCTTGTCTCAAATCCACATGGTATCCTTTAGATTGTAAGCTCATGGGCTATCTGGCTATGCACTTTGTATAAAAGAGCTTAAATGGCTAGATCTCAGCTTACGGGCAGTGCCCTCTCTACCTTTTGCAAAGTGTCTGCATAAAATGTCCGTATCTAATTTACTCCAGTTTGTCCTACTTCCAAATTGACCATGAGCTGCAGACACTTTTGTTGAAAATGACCTATGATAATCATACAAAGCTGGGTACGGAATCTGTCGTTTCCTGAGCTCGGTAGTATTGCGGGGGATAGTCCAGGATCTGATAGATGATGGGCTAGCCATGTATCCTCTACGTGAAGTTGTCCCGGACCTAGCCAGAGTGCTGGGCAGAGATAGCTCTTCGCCTCTTTTTTTACACATGCTAAATAACATAAAGATTACCATTATTACATGTATATCTTATAGTAGTACTGACTTGCTAGCTAATGCCAAGTGGCGAAACAATTATACTAGGTTGGTGACTGGTGAGGCCCTGCTAGATGCCCAGCGGCTTGATAGGCTCTATCAACGCGTTGGCGTGAGGGGATTTCATGGCCACCGAAACGTTGTGGCGGGGTGTCGGCCTCTCTGTGACTTTTACAGCCTAAGATAGAATGAGAGTGACAGGTGAGGCCCTCTCTATGTTACTAGGCAAAGCGGCTAACTATGATTTGGCACTGATGGGCATATACCTCCCGGAATGAGGATTGGTGTTGGCCTTGCGGAACCACTAACATAAAGCATGGATGCTGTAGAAGTAAATTACCTATTGGACTTCTAGGACCCTATTTAGCCTGTATGTTCTTAACTGGACAACGAGGGGGAGGAATTATATGGTATGTAATGAGCAGGTGAACGTACCTTGGTAATTTAGTTTTATTCTGACAAGCTAGCTGTTTGATTTAGTTGTATCTGTAATCTAATATTGAAAAACAGAGTGTTGGAGTATGAAAAACATGAATGATATGCTCCTTATGCCTAATATATTTACGTACAAGTGAAAGATCAAAGGTACCCCCCAAACCAAGCTCCTTGTAACGTACTAACTCCCCGACATGGTTACTGAAACTGGAATTATCTATATGAATATAGCTGGTAACCCGAAGCCTATGACAGTAACTGAGCTATCGTGAGATTTAGAAAGCTGCGATATATGTGCATAGTTTGGTTCTAATGCAAAGGAAGAAAAACAGGAAGAAAGTATAGAAAATCCTATGTCCCTTAACTATCTGCTTAGACAGTAAACTTAAGTGCAGAGAATATGATTTTTTTAGGTGAATTTAATACAAACTGGAAATAATATGTATAAGTACATGGATAATATGACATAATTGGCAAAAGATGCGTATACAGGTGATACTCAAAAAATTTGAATATCGTGCAAAAGCTAATTTATTTCAGTAATGCAACGTAAAAGGGGAAACTAGTATATGAGATAGACGCATTACATGCAAAGCAAGATAGTTCAAGCCGTGATTTGTCATAAGTGCGATGATTATGGCTTACAGCTCATGAAAACCCCAAATCCACAATCTCAGTAAATTAGAATATTACATGCAATCAATAAAACAAGGAGTGTACATAGAACAATATCGGACCTCTGAAAATTATAAGCATGCATATGGACTCAGTATTTGGTTTGGGCCCCTTTTGCAGCAATTACTGCCTCAATGCGGCGTGGCATGGAAGCCATCAGCATGTGGCACTGCTGAGGTGTAATGGAAGATCAGGATGCTTCAATAGCGGTCTTCAGCTCTTCTGCATTGTTCGGTCTCATGTCTCTCATCTTTCTCTTGGCAATGCCCCATGGAATCTCTATGGGGTTCAGGTCAGGCGAGTTTGCTGGCAAATCAAGTACAGTTATCCCATGGTCATTGAACCAGGCTTTGTGTGGGCAGGAGACAAGTCCTGCTGGAAAATGAAGTCAGCATCCCCATAAATCTCGTCTGTGGAAGGAAGCATGAAGTGCTCCAAAATCTCCTGGTAGACTGCTGCGTTGACGTTGGACTTAATGAAGCACAGTGGACCAACACTAGCAGATGACATGGCTCCCCAATTCAACACAGACTGTGGAAACTTCACACTGGAGACAGGTCCTGCTGGAAAAGTGTGGGCAAGAGACAAGTCCTGCTGGAAAATGAAGTTAGCATCCCCATAAAGCTCGTCTGTGGAAGGAAGCATGAAGTGCTCCAAAATCTCCTGGTAGACTGCTGCGTTGACCCTGGACTTAATGAAGCACAGTGGACCAACACTAGCAGATGACATGGCTCCCCAAATCAACACAGACTGTGGAAACTTCACACTAGACAAAAGTTGCTCTCATCAGAAAAGAGGACTTTGGACCACTGAGCAACAGACCAGGTCTGTTTTTCTTTAGCCCAGGTAAGACACATCTGAAGTTGTTTGTTGTTTAGGAGCGGCTTGACGAGGAATACAACATCTGAAGCCCATGTCCAGGATCCTTCTGTGTGTGGTGGCTCTTGATGCACTGACTCTAGCCTCGGTCCACTCCTTGTGAAAGTCCCCAACACTTTTGGCCTTTTCCTGACAATCCTCTCCAGGCTGTGGTCATACCTGCTGCGCCTTTTTCTTCCACACTTTTACCTTCCACATAACTTTTCTATTAATGTGCTTTGATACAGCACTTTGGGAACATCCAAGTTCCTTTGCAATTACCTTTTGAAGCTTTCGCTCCTTATGGAGGGTGTCAATGATGGTTTTCTGCACAACTGTCAGGTCAGCAGTCTTCCCCATGATTGTGATTCCTACTGAACCAGACTGAGAGACCATTTAAAGGCTCAGAAACCCTTTGCAGCTGTTATGGCTTACTTAGCTGATTAGAGTGGGACACTAGAATATTGCACTTTTTCACAATATTCTAATTTACTGAGATTGTGGATTTGGGGTTTTCATGAGCTGTAAGCCATAATCATCGCACTTATGACAAATCACGGCTTGAACTATCTTGCTTTGCATGTAATGCGACTGTCTGATATATTAGTCTCCCCTTTTACGTTGCATTACTGAAATAAATTAACTTTTGCACGATATTCAAATTTTTCAAGTATCACCTATATAACCGAAAATTCAGAAAACGTATTAAAACATGTAAGACATGAGATCACAATATCTAAATGCAATATAACAAAAATACTATCAATCTAACTATGTAGAAACACTGCTTAATATGTAGTTTAACAAATTGCCTATTCCGAGAAAGACCACTAGGGGTCAGTACTGTAGCCTGATTGAACTGTAAATTCTAATTTCATGCGACAGTGTGCACGAAAGCCCTGTCT